ACTTGAAGACTAAATGCGTCACAGAAGTGCGTCAGAAGCAGCCCCGTTAGGAAGGCTGGTGCATCATTCTCAGCCCCACTTATCCCAGTATTTTACTACAATCGAGATAGCTGACTCTCAAACTGACCAGTCATACACTGTTAAATTAGTTTTTAGTCCTCCAAAGGCATGGCAGAAAAAGTTTAGGAACCACTGCTGTAGATACATGTATTGGACAGACTAGTATGTTATACTTATTTGTCTTAAACAGTGTCTGATGAAGGACTGCACATATGAGCAGATGGCATGTTTTATTCGTACATTTTTTATTACAATGTGTTTGCTTATGCTTTTGCTTATTATCCTCCAGTAAACCCACAGAGAGCATTTCGACCTGAAAATGAATTTTACATCACAGTTGATGTTGAGATAAGTTGGAACTGTTTGGTGCTTAGCATACCAGCCTCTACCATCACTAAGTACATTTATATGTTTTTAAAAAAAATTGGTTTCGGCACTACTATGACTGAAGCCAGACTTTTAAGAAAACGTGAAGACATTGGTCCTTCTGAAATTGCATAAAGTCAAACTTTACATAGTCAGATTAACCTACCTGGATTGTACAGTGGGTTCTGCATTCACTCCACCGTTAGCAAACTGGGCTTTGAGCTGGAAGTCGAATAGAATGGAATAAATGTGACATGTCATGTAAAAGCACTTTGAGTGGTCAGAAGATGAAGTGCTATAGAAACAAGGTCTGTAGACCTTGTCTATAGACAAGGAGAAGATCTCACAGTTGAGGATGCACCTCCAGTGTTTCCCACACATAGACTATACCTGGACGAGTAAACACAGGAGACCTGACCTCTACTTTCCTGAACTCAAGAGCAACTTTTGTTCATGCCTGAAAACACATGAAAAACATTCATTCTGTTACATTAACCGACCTGGTCACTCTCTCTGTTATGTATGTGGACATGGTCTGTGCTGTGACTTGTATTCATGTCAGTCTGAGAGCACAGTGTTGATTAGTCGAGTACCTGCCCGTTCACTCTGCTGATGGTCTGTATTCAGAGCTAGGAAAGCTTCAGCCCACAGTGGACCTGCTCTCTGACCTCACCGTCTCCCTCTTAATGAAGACACTGGCTAGAAGCTCTTAACACTGTCCATGAGATTATCCATCCAGCTGTCACTCACACACACGCTCACTCACTCCCCCCTCCATCCCTTTATTTCTTTGCTCATTCAGTGTCTCTCTCTATCTCGCTCCTTCTCTCCCTGTCTGTATGATTGAAGCTGCAGAATTTGTATCTTTATTATGCAGCGTCCTGACAGAAGCCTCAGGCTCACTACTGCTACTACTTCAACCACACACACAAACACACACAGTGGAGATAAAATATTCCTTTAAACTTGTATGTGTTTGTTGTCAGATGCAGTTAAATGTAAAACATACCCACCAGCACAACTTGAAATGCACTGCTTTGTTCTGGGCGATGTACTGTTATGTTAATCCACCAGAACACCTCCTCTTGTATGTGTGAGTGTGTAAGACCTGCAGGCTGCTATGACATTGTGGGTGTACCAGGGAATAAAATGGTGCATGTTGTATGAAATGACATAATGTAGCTCTATGTAGAATGTGTGCACACAGAAAGAAAACACTTAGATTTTTGTGAATTAAATGTAATTTCAGAAATATGGTTTGTGTACCTTTGTCATTTCCCCAGCACAGAATCTTCAGTCTGCAGGAAGTCAATAAAACAGCTTCTTCTCTGCAGACAGCCTCTGGCCTCTGTGACAGGGCTAGTGGATTTAATGGACCCAGTTTGCAGCTCTGTCTCTGACAGGCTGTTGAGGTCTGTTTTCATATTGCGTCTGACTCCTCAGAGCCATGTTAGTCCAGAGTCCACTACAGTCAGAAACTCCTGGGACTGATAAATGAAGCCATTTTGGAGCTTTTTCCTGTATAATCTGTTTGCTTTGGGATTAAGTGGACGAACAGACCATGCAATAATTCCATGCTCCAGATTTTACTCTCAGCAAAATTTTGGCAATATTTCTGGTGTTATCAGACAGATAGTTAAAGGTGATCTGATCAGACTCTGCGGTTCAATAATTACATTTGCATCATTTCTGCAAGAAGCATCACAGCACTGGTAAACTTACTTAGTATGCTGTAGCTTGTCTCTGCACATTGGATTATTACTTCCCCATTTTTAGAAGAAATGCAATCCATTAATGCCCATAGTTGAATTTTATAATTTCCTTTTGAAAACCAGAAGTACTAGCTGAGCTAAGTACAAATCCATTGAAATTTTTCAAATCGGTCAAAGTATGTGGCTACAGCACCAGTTTTTCTTATCATACTATATTTAGTATCTGGGCACATACACTCTCCAATTTATCACTTTTCACATAAACACTAGTGAAAACACAGGTTCAGCACTCAAGGACCACACAGGCTAATGTAAGGATCAGTTGTAAAAAATGATTTTCTTTTAGGGAGAAATTATAAAAAAATGTAGCACCTCAACCATAGTTTTTGTCCCCATGTTCCTTTCTGATGTCCGTCATACACAGTCAAGAATGTGTCAAAATGTTTATCAATGTCAATAGTCAACAAGTGAAATACAATACAATACAATAACATGTTCAACAATCTCAATTCTTTACTGCAGTCAAAAAATAAAGTCCACATATCATCCATATATCTTGTGTCTACTGTTCAGCAATCTCATTTCCCAACCGCAATCAAATAATAGATAAATAAATAAGTAAATAAAAAGTATCTTTCTATCTCAAATACTATAAATTTCAAAAGTTGTATTGTATTTCACTTGTTGACTATTAACATTGATAAACATTTTGAAGCATTCTTGACTGTGTATGACGGACATCAGAAAGGAACATGGGGAAAAAACTATGGTTAAGGTGCTACATTTTTTATCATCTCTCCCTAAAAGAAAATCTGAGAACAATTTTTACAACTGATCCTTACAATAGCCTGTGTGGTCCTTGAGTGCATAAAAGATTTTGAACATGTGATCAAGGGAACCTGTTTTTTCACTAGTGTTTATGTGAAAAGTGATAAAATCGGAGAGTGTATGTGCCCAGATACTAAATATAGTATGTTAACAGAAATAGCTGTATCTCAAAAACTACAAGGACCTATATCAAATACCTGGTACCGTTGGATTCAGAACAAGTTGAACTTTTTCATCCAGAGTAAAACCATCATGTAATATGTCAACTTAATGGGAAAACGATTTAGTGATTTTTCAGTGTTTTTGACAGTAAGTCAACTTCATGTACAAAGTAAGGCATGATACATTTGTCAAATAGATTTTTTTTGTATGTGTGTGTAGCCACATGTCTTGACAGTATCCATAGCATATTTTGTGTTGCTATCTCTAACAGAAAAAAAATCTGTGGTGTTTTTCCTTAACATACTATATTTAGTATCTGGGCATATATGGGTTAATACTGTTTAGAAAACACATTAATGATGTCAGGTCGCAGGGGCAGAAGCCTGAGCAGAGAAGCTCAGACTTCCCTCTCTCTAGCCACTTTGTCTAGCTCCTTCCACTGGCACCCAGAGGCTTTCCCAGGCCAGCTGAGAGATGTTGTCTCTTCAGTGTGTCCTGGGTCTTCCCCGCGGTCTCCTACCGTTGGGACATGACCTGAATGCCTGACCAGCAAGGCATCCAGGTGGCATCCTGATTAGATGCCCAAGCCACCTCATCTGACTGCTCTCAATGCGGAGGACGTGGCTCTACTACGAGCCCCACCCGAATGACCAAGCTTTTCACCCTATCTCTAAGGGAGAGCCCAGCCACCCTGTGGAAGAAACTTATTTCGGCCACTTGTACTCGTGATCTTGTTCTTTTGGTCACTACCCACAACTCGTGACCATAGGTGAGGGTTGGAACGTAGATGACCGGGAGTTTTGCCTTTTGGCTCAGCTCCCTCTTTACCATGACAGATCTGTGCAGCGTCCACATCACTGCTGATGCGGCACCGATCTGCATGTCAATCTCCCACTCCATCGTTCCCTCACTTGTGAACAAGCCAGAACTTCTCCACCTCGCACACCAGCTCAGGCTCCTTTCCCGCCAGTGAGGTGACATGCTATGTCCCTAGAACCAGCCTCTGCAGCCAAGGATTGGACCGCCAAGGTGGCTGCCTTCGGCTGCTGTCTAACTCACAATGCACCTGACCCCTCTGGCCCCTCCCATGGGTGGTGAGCCCAACATCCAGGAAAGCAAGGAAACTTGGTGCCAAATATTTTGTCCATCACAAGGGATCTGTTTGAGCTACTCTTCGTCTGGTCCCTCCCCCAGGACCTGTTGCCTTGAGTGACCCTACCAGAGGCAGGAAGTCCCCACAACATAGCTCCTGGGATCACTGGGACACACAAACCCCTCCACCACGGTAAGGTGGTAGCTCTAGGAGGGGAATTTTTTTTTTTTTTTTTTTTTTTTTTTTTTTTTTTTTTTTTTTTTTTTTTTTTTTTTTTTTTTTTTTTTTTTTTTGTTTTTTTTTGTTTTTTTGTTTTTTTTTGTTTTTTAGTTTGTTTTTTGTTTTGTTTTTTGTTCTTTTTTGTTTGTTTGTTTGTTTTGTTTTTGTGTTTTTTTGTTTGTTTTTTGTTTATTTTTTTATTTTTGTTTATTTTTTTTTTGTTTGTTTGTTTTTTGTTCTTTTTTTGTTTTGTTTTGTTTTTTTATTTTTATTTGTTTTTTGTTCTTTTTTTTGTTTGTGTGTTTGTTTGTTTGTTTGTTTTTGTGTTTTTTTTTGTTTGTTTTTTGTTTTGTTTTTTGTTCTTGTTTTTTGTTCTTTTTTTTGTCGCTTAACATCTATTCTTCTTCTTTGACTTGTTCATCACCTTCCTCTGGATTATTGACCTCTTCTAAAACTACAGGAGCCTGCTGCTGGATTTCATCGAGAGGATCATCCTGGGAAGCTGGGCAGACCATCCATTCCAGCAGGTTTCCGATCCCTTGATAGAGGGAATTCCCCCTCTATAGAGCCTTTTGAAGCTGAGTTTCCAATTGATGCTCCTTTCCTCCTTTTTGGAGAGACTGTTCAGCCTTTAGCTTCAGGATTTGCTGCTGGAGGACATCAATCTTGTGTTCACAGGCTTTTCTTTCAGCCTTTAGATTTAGGATTTTTTTTGCACTTGTCTTTTTAGCAAGGCGTTTCCTCTCTTGGTCATGGTCAATTTTTTGTTGGAGGGCATCTTTTTCAGCCCTAAGCCTCTGGATCTCCTCCTGGTGCTCTAAGACCTGCTTAGCACATGACCTCTCTTGCTCAAGCTGCTGCTGGAGGACATCATTCTTGTGTTCACGAGCTTTTCTTTCAGCCTTTAGCTTTAGGATTTTTTTTGCACTTGTCTTTTTAGCAAGGTGCTTCCTCTCTTCGTCGTGGTCAATTTTTTGTTGGAGGGCATCTCTTTCAGCCCTAAGCCTCTGGATCTCCTCCTGGTGCTCTAAGACCTGCTTAGCACATGACTTTGCATTCTCAGGCTGCTGCTGGAGGACATCATTCTTGTGTTCATGAGCTTTTCTTTCAGTCTCCTGATTCTCGATTATTTCCTCCAGTTTAATCCTAAGTTCATCATGTGACCACCGTTCATCGTCAAACTGCTGCTGGAGGAGGTCAGCCCTTTTCTTCTCATTTCTAAGAAAAGCATACCTCTGGTACAGTTCCTGATATGACTGTGAAAGGTTCACAAGCTCACCTTCTGTAGCTGTTAACGAATTCTCCGATTTAGCCAGAAGATTCTTTAAATATTCCACCTCATTTTTGAGCTCTGTCACGTGTTCCTCCTCCTGTAAGTACTTTGCCCTCTCTCGTTTAAACGAATCACGGTGATATGTTGCAATGGATTTGAAATTTTTGAGTTCTGCAGTCAAGTACTCCACCTGATCCCGGAGTTTACAGTTATCAGCCCTCTCGGTCTCAAGGTGGCCAGCTAGCTGGTTGGTTGTTTGCTCCTGACTAGAGATTCTCTGCTGGGCCAGCTGAAGATGAGTCCTCAGCTCTTCGTTTTGGTGAAGTAAGGCCTTTTGTTCTTCCCTGCTGAAAACACTGGAGACACGTCCCACCGCCTGCATGGTCATGCTAATGGTGTCCCAGGTTGCACGAGTTAGCCTTGAAAGCATGTTTGGTTGAGGTACTTGTGTGTTCAGTTGCATGCTACCAGACATTGGGTTTGAGTTAGTATGTTGTGTGCACAATTGTACGTTAACATACATAATACCTGAGATGATTTGAATAGGCTGTTTTGAGAACAAAGCAGATGATGTCATGATGACATCATCTGTTTTGAGAACAAAGCAGATGATGTCATCATGACATCATGATGTCATGATGTCATAAAATGGAACTCAAGGTTGATGGAGTGAGTGGGCCTGCCATCTGTTGCTAAGCAACAAGAGTGGCTTGCTGTAGGAGGACTATTTGGAACAGCATTTCCAACTACAAGACTGATGCCCTGCTTAAACAGGTGTATGTGCCACAGTAAGTGTGAGATTCTGTCTATTTTCACCATGTCTAACATCGAGGATGTAAAACCAGCATTTTATCATCTTAGTCACATCCACGACAACTGCAAAAGACAAAAAAAAATAATAAAGGCGGTATTCATGGAAGACTTTGACAACAACAATCCAAACTTCAGTCAGATTAACATGATCACACAGCATTAGTCCATTTTTGTAAAGAAATAACAGTAGATTCAAATTCAAGATGTTGCTACAGTCACTTCTGAGTTCTGTGTAAATGTTGGATAAATGAGAATAATGTGTGGGTTTTGGGCCTGGCTGAAAAGAGTGAAGCATAAACTTTGAGTTGCTGTATTTCAGGCCTCGGGCTGTGCAGCTGCTCGCTGAGATCTGTGGACATTTTCAGGAAGACTTAAAGAATATTTAATCTCATTTCTCCTGCCGAAGCTTCATTTATTATGAGCAGACAGAGATCTCCACCAGTCCGCACAGAACTACTGTTTCACCCTGTGTCTCCATGTATCGGTTTCCATCAGAACAATCTAGAAAGTGCTCTCCTTATTTGAATAGCTTGGCTCTGGACATGTGGCTGCATCTGGTGAGCAGATAAAGGAAACAATGGAGGAGCTTTCAAAGAGAAAACACTCCAGGAGAAAAAGCGAAAGCTCCTCCATCCAGCTTGTGGAGAGGGAGGTGGGCGGCTGAGTGGGAGAGTGATGGTGTCTCTTTCAGTTCAGTTTTAACACAAGCTTTACATCTGAGGGAATGAACACTGACTGCAGGAATATTAAGCTGCTCAGCCCTTCAGCACTCTAATGTTGGAGGTTTTCAAAGCTTCCTATCAACCAACGACCAACATCTACAGCTTATGTAACTCTAAAGTGACTAGAATAAACAATCCCCGAGGGCTTATTTCATACTCTATATCTACCACAGTGAACTCCTTAGAGCCCTCAAGGTATGTAACATATGCAATACTCTAAAAACAGATGCACAGAATGCACCGAAAAAGTGATTTCTATCCATTTGGTATAACACTAATTAACAATATATGATGAGGCTTTTTAATACTGAGAAATTAGAGATGATATCTGAATCTGAACATCTTTTTTAACTTTTTAGATTCAGATCAAAGTTCTCTATCACAGTGATAGATTTCCATCTATTGCATAATGGGTGGTATCCTGATATTAGTCACCAGTGCAAAACTGACAGGAAAACGAATAAATAAATAAATAAATAAATAAATAAATAAATAAAAAAGTTTAAAAAAAGAAAATCAAATAAAAAACAAACAAAGGGTGATCGTTGGTAAAACTCACATAAGTCATGTATTTTGCGCTTTTATTTATCATAATCTCCAGGCTCCAGACCCGCAACCCTGACCGGAAAAGACAATGAATGGAAGGATGGAGAGTTAAAATAATATTTTAGTTTAACCTTGTTGGCTAATAGGGGGACTCTCAGGCTAACTGGCAGTTTAGTAATAAATAAATAAATGTTCTAACAATCTATTAGAATAAGCTCTATTTTAATCTGCTGTGACAAAAAAAAGGGGACGGAAATAATGCATATAAAATACAATTCAACAATAATATAAATATTTAAATAGTTCAATGCTTTCAAATTTGTCTTCACTTATTTTCAGTTCAGTGTTAAACTTTTTATGGTGTTTCTGCTTGGGGTATGACTAATTTTAGTCAAAAGATCTGAGTTATTAATCCACTGCCCATTTTGAATTCAAAACCAGGAGTATAAGTGTCACCTGTCAACATGTGGCAGAGTTGTAGGAAAAGGAAAAAGACCCAAAAAGCGGACTTAACTGAGAAAAGTTTTATACACAAAAAGGCGAGGACTGACAAAAACTTACAAAGTTTAACCAAAACCCAAATCCCCCCAAAACTGTAGCACTAAAACATCAGAAGCAGGGAAAAACACTGGAGCACGGGGAACTAAAAAGACAGGCAAGGACAGCATGGACAACATGAACAATGTACCAACAAGGAAAGAGGGGATGACATGGACTTAACACACACAGGGAAACACGTAACAAATGAGCCAGACAAGACACATAAGACTTGAGAGTAATTCTCAAATGAAGGAAAACTAAGGAAGTAAAACAAAACTAGATACACGTGGACTGACTAACCTAACAAAATTAAACAGGACACACTGAAAACTGAACCAAGAAACCAAACAGTGAAAAACACAAGAACAACAGGAACATAAGAATAATTAACACAGCAAAACAGAAATATTAGGTAAGGAAAATAAAACTTCATTATAAAACCAGGAAAAAAAATAAACAAACAAGAACTGATCATGACAATTAGGGCTGCTTGAAAAATAAAATGATGTGAAATAAAATAAATGAAATGAGAATTTTGGGAAGAGAGTTTTTAAAGTTGGGGTGGCGGTAGCTCAGGAGGTAGAGCGGTCGTCCAATACCTGGAGGGTTGGCAGTTCGATTCCCCCCTATCCCTAGTCTGTCCGTTGTGTCCTTGGCCAAGACACTTAATCCACCTTGCTCCCAGTGTGTTTCCTCCGCTGGTGTATGAATGTGAGTGCTGTGTGGTGGTGGTCGAAGAGGCTTTAGGCGCAAACTGGCAGCCACGTTTCCGTTAGTCTGCCCCAGGGAAGCTGTGACTACTAAGGTAGTTTACCACCACCAAGGTGTGAGTGAATGAATGATGTATCCAATGTAAAGCACTTAGAGTGTCTCTGATAAAGCGCTTTTAAAATCTGATGCATTATTGTTTTGATTATTCAAGTCGAATAAAGAGAATATAGGGGTAATATTCCAAAAATGAGGTCAACGTATTATGAGAATAAAGTCTTCAAAAAGTTCATCGTTATTTTGCTGCATGAATCAAGTTATGTAATGGCACAAAACTGAAGTAAGCTTGTTACTGAAATAAAGTCATTAACTCTTTCCCTGCCACTGACGAGATATCCCGTTAAACCATGTTTTTGAATGGGTGGGGCTGTATTTGTAAATACACATGTATTTATTGCAGAAGGCTTTGCTGGTATTTCTTGCTTTGTTGAGATAACAACCAAACTGATTGTAGTGGTATGAGGCACCATGGCCTCAAGCTCGGCTCTGTTTGCCTCTCAAGCTCTTAGCCAATCATGGTGCAGACAGAGGGTATAAAAGTAGGCTGTGTTCCTCCCCCTGACCTCTCGCTTCCTGCCTCTTCGGCCCGCCCACTTCCGGGTCGTCGCCCATACTGCTCACCTCGGAGCACAGGTAGGCTCACATTGGCATGTGATTTGTGCACCCTCGTCTGGGTTTTATTTAATCTAAATCGTCGTTGATTGCTAGATCTGGCATTTGGCGTCTGGGGACGAGACTGTCGGGCGCGTTCACCGCTGTCATCCAAGCCTAGGCGAGTCATGGCGAGCTACCTTTTGTTTGTTGTTGTTAGCCAGGTGCTAAGCCCCTTTCCGCTCCTTCCCTCATAGTTGTCGGTCTCCTCGTGCAGCGCGTGGCTGTCTCCGCCTGCTGTGCAGGCTTTCTTCACCCCTCTCCCTCTTGGACGGGACTAAAACTCCCGGCGGATGAACCGGACCTTGCAGACCCTGAAAGCTAAGTACGGTTATGGCTGGTTAGCCCCGGCTACCTGGATACTGCCGCTGTGCTGCTGCTGTTGCATCGCTGCCGCTTTGCTGCCGTTATTAAACGCTTCCGCTGTTTGCCGGCCTGCTTCGGGGTGCGGTCGGCTGCCTCACGCCGACTCCCCTTTGTTGACTTTGTCCCCCAGCAGCCGTGCGAGGTGCGGAGCGAGTGTGTTACCCGGGTGGGCGCGACTGCGAGCCCCCAGTTCGGACTGTGTGTGAGGATGTGTGTTTGACTTTTTAAAGGCACTCTGTGAAGGTCGCTCATTCATTTCGTTTTGTTCTTTTTGGGTAATTTCTTGGTTTGTTTGTTTTATTTGTTTTGTTTAAGTGATTTGTTTATTTTTTGGAAACGTACTTATTATACTTTAATGGGTAATGTTTTAGTTGGAGATCCTTTTAGTTAGTGCTTTGAATGAATTAATTTTTGGTTTTCTGAGTTTATCTCTGGCCAGAGAGTCGTAATTTGTTTCCTTTGTTTGATTTCTGATTCATTTTGAACATTATTACCCAGTTAAATTGATTAGTTATTGATTTGGTTATGTTTTGGTGTGTTTCCTTTATGAGTCCCTTGCCCTAATTGTGTTTCTTTTCCCCCTACAGAGCTGACGGCCAACGGTGGTGGTGGTGGTCCTCCAAGGTGGTGGTGATCCCTGAGTGTGTGCGTTTTATTTGACTCCCCGTTTGAAGATTTATTTGTGTGCACCTTATGTTTGCTGTGAGTGGGGTGTTCTCTTTTCTTTGGACGTCACCAGTTTTGACCCCTCCTCTAGCCCGTACGCCTCAGCCTGTATCCCTGTTTTAGTTGGGCTCTGTCATTATCATATTTTGCATCTTATTAATTATGTCGACCTTTTATTAATAAATTTTGTACATTGATTATTGATTCTCGTCTCCTGCCTCCCTGGTTGAACGAACCTGAGTGCCTCAGATAACAAGGTAATTGACCTTTAGATACGGGTCCTTGGGCCCTCTCCCAAGGTGGCATTGTTGGACAACAAAGTTCGGGTGGTACCCAAACTGATAATATATAGCTCGTGCCGCCACAAACTGAAATCATCCACCATCATCTGCCTGATCAGAATGGGATAGAGCGTAGCTGTGTTTACAGCATAACACCTTCAATTCCTTAAACCAGAGCGCGAGAAACACAAGAAACACAGGAACATCTGTTCACTGACAAAAACTAAAAGAAAAGTGAACAAAGGTCAGTATAACTTGTGTGTAAACACATTGGTCTGTAGTTTGTTAATTATCATGAATATTATTTTTCTTATAACTTTTTTTTTATTATACAATGAACTTCCAACAACTTTATTTCATAAGGATATAACCTAAAAGATCTTTAAAATGTATAAATATACGTATATTCAGACATACAAAACATCCCCACTTTTCCAAAAATAAAAATTACAAAAAGCTCCAAAAAGCTACAGTATTTGCATGTTTTAGTGGCTCGATTTTTCCTCTAAGGTAGATTTCTCTGGAGCTCCCACCTACATATTTGTTTGTTTGCTGATGGTTTCTGTATCCTGTCATAGTTGATCTTATAATCAGCAGCATCCCTTTTCTGAGTCAGCTGGCTCATTTGTAGACAGATAAAGTCCTTCACTGCAGGCTGCCTTTTTTAACCGCTCTGTATTAAAGCAGTAAGGTCATATCTGCTGCTCTACAACCTTTTAAAAAGAAAAATGTTTTCTTCTGCTCTTTAACAGAAAACATCATTAACATTCACAAGGGCCTATACTGAGAGACCCTCACCATGACTCATATGCTGAAAATTTTCCGTCAGAAATTGTTGTTTTTTTTGGCTTCAGTCCCTGTTTACTTTCATACCACAGGTCCAAATTCCCCCCCTGGTTATGTTGTGCATTAAAAAGTTTGCTGTTCAGGAGCCAACTTCCAAATTGGTTGTCATAGACACAACATGTGTCCTCATTGTTCATTTCTGCAGCTGATTTCCAAACAATACCAGCCTCATGCTTCCCAGTGGACGGCGGATGCTTGTTGCATGTTGTTGTGCAAGAGATTAAACATGAATGGACAAATAAAGCAATCACCGGCATGTTTACAGCCTTTATGTTACTGCACAGAATAATAAGACAACCATGACACTAACGGCTTCCAGTAAATTGGAAAATTAATGTAAACATGTATGATGTGCCTTAGAAAATGCACCAATGGTACTCATGGTGCACATTATTTAGCAACAAAGCTCAAGAGCCAGGGCTTAAAATATGCAAAACCATCATTATGGTGCTTCAGCGATAATGCTTGTTGCCTGCAATTACTTGCTTCATAAGTATTTCAATCTATAGTGAGGGCTCTGCCACTGATGCCAGCTCTGGTTTGCTTCAAATATTTGCTCCTGGGCGTTTGGGGGCAAGTCTAACCCGAACAGAAAGTACAGACTACACAAGGCAGACAAGATACTTATGATGACTTATGTATTTATTTAAAAAGCTGTCCAATAAAGAGCTATGACTCCTTGCATCACTCTGCAGTAGCTTTAACTGGTTTGACAGTACCCTATTGCCTGCTTACCTTGAATTTATGGCACATCCTTAAAAGTATGTTGAGCTATATGCCAAAGTTCCAAAATGTGTTATTAGTACTGCTAAAGGTTCCATTAAATGGTGTTTCTTGTGAGGTATTCCTCAGACAGATCTTAACCTTGAGGAAGGCAACAACAACCACAACATAGCACACCACTTCACTGGTAACTCCTTTGTAAACAAGGACCAGTAGGAGGTAGATTTAAGCCTCAGCTGTTACTGAAACCTGGCATTGTTCGTCCATAAAGACCTTCATGAAGACTCATAACCACAAGCTGGAAGAAAATACAGCAGCAGACAATAGCTGACACAAAATAGAGCTCTAACAGCCAGTCCCAGATGGTTTCTTTAAAGGAGCAACCTTCAGGTTGTTTCATGAATACAAAGCTGTGTAAAAAGAAACACCCTAAAGTTGTGTCTGACTTTCTCTTCAGTGAAAATTCAGTCACCTAGAGGCATAGTGCAACAGATGATACACCACTGTAGGAATTAATGGAAAGAATGTTCACAACTCTCTGTGGTTAATATCAGGTCCTGCGACAGTAAATGAGTCTCATATAGTGGTGATGTAATGTTTTTATCTCTTAAAAGTCATTAACTTTTAACAAATAAGCTTACGTTTGGGCCTTCTGCAACTTTGCTATCTTTGTATTGGTAAAATCCATGTGTTGGCGCATCTAATATGACGATTTCCACTGGGTATCAGCCTCAATGAGTTTTATCCACAACCATATGTCTTTATTCAAACCCTCCATGTCAACTAAACATACAGTATTTACTCACCTTAAATGACCAAAGTGGCACCCTATCAATGGGCAGGGGATTCAGAGGGAACTTTCAGAGGATCGGGAGAGGACTCTTCTTCCAGGTTATATACCAAAGGGGCATGCAGATTGTTTTTTTTTTTTGTTTGTTTTTTTTTAAAACTTGTATATACTGAAAGGGCATCCATGGGGAAATGGTTGCCATTAAATTTTCCAAAAGTGCATCTAGAGGGCATTATCTGTGCTAAATTCACAAACAGGGTATCCAGGTGGCACTAGATATTTGCCTCCTCTCTAAAGGAAGGGCTCAGAGAGCATTTTTCCTACATTTTACAAACTCAAAGGGTTTCCATGGGATACTTTTTTTTACTTCTTTTATATTGTTCAACCACAACTTCTTCTTTTTTTTTTTCTTTGCCAAGGCTATTCTTTACATTGTACATGCTGGGAGGTCATTCAAAGGGCACTTTCAGATGTACTTTTTTTTAATTTCCTTGAGGGAACCTTCCCAAAAGGATAAATACAGTTGTATCTAATCTCTCTCATTTGCTGGAAAAGCCGCCAAGGGTCATTTTTGTGTAATTCACTGTGAAGGTATTGAGAGTACAGTCTTGTTTTCACAGGAATGCAAACAGAAGGCACTTTGTAATGTGAATGAGAATTACTATTGCACTTTCTATGTGTGTTCTCCAGAGAAAAGGCTTTCAAGTATATAGTTTTTACTACAGGAGCATCTTAGAGCTCTTCAACCCAGCTCCCTGAGTGGCTGCTCCCCTTTTTTATATTAAAATGTGGGTGATAATTGTGTGCATGTCAGCTTTGAGCAGGCTCTGAGACCAACATTAACATAAAAATCTAATTTTTTAGATTCACGGAAATGTAAACATGTATCGATATATAGCAATATTTCATGCACTACACCAAGCTGACGAAAGCAGTTGTCCACTGTGAAAATATCCTCTCATCTGCAGCTCTTTCTGTGGATATTTGATTTACACACGCAAATCTAGTGAATCTCTCTCCTGCCTCTATAAAGACAGATGACATCAGCGCATATATCGGTCTAATCAAAAATAATATGCTGTCTCAGGGTGAGAAATCAAATTTCCTGAGGCTCACAGAAGGGCTTGTTTCCAAACACTGCCACTTCACTGCAGTCCAGCCGGTCACAACTGCAGGCTGGAGGACACAGCAGGAAGACTTTATCAAGGCCAAACACACAAAACCTCATTAGAAGTCGGACAGATCAGCCTTATTGCACCATGGTGCTTATTGGTGGAAATCAATGACAGCTATGTGTACCAATTCTCTCTGCTTTATTTAATCCACTTTCTTTATAGCCACTCCTTGTGCTATTAAAGCTCCTGACACAGCAGAGACCCCATCACCTTAGACTAATAGTGTAATCTTCCACACAGCTCTGACACCAACCAGGACCCAGTTATATCCATATAAAACCCATTACTGCCCCCTCATTCTTCTCCGACCAACAAATCTGGAGGAATCAGTACAATAGTGTAAATTGTATTAACTCACCACAGGCTAACGAATCTTGGGCTGAATACATGTAGGAGGCATCCAATTATGTACCGGGCACAAGTAGAGGTTTCCATTACTGCAGATGTCTGCCTGTCAAGGCTATGGCTCATGGAGAGTAAAGGGAAGACACAAATTTACAGGGTTATTCAGATTTTATCTGCTCAGTGAACTGTGCAGGATCCTGTTTGAAAGGATCCAGATACTCTGCTGGGGACATCTTCAGTATGCAGGTATGCGTCAGGGGATCAGACAAGTGAGAAACAAACTATGAAAAAACAGACAGTCAGGTTATGTAGAGCGAGGGTATGTGTTGGAAAAACTGACATTATTTAAGTCAAAGGTTATAGAATTTTTGTGCTTCAGTGTTAGTAGATATTTTAATTTCACAGAATATTACTGGCTTTAAAATTTCGGATGCGACCTGCAATTCATTGCATGGCATAAAATGAAGGTCAATTAGTAAAAGAATAAAGCACCAATTAAACTTCCCTTAAGATATATTGTTTGTGAGTCTGGTAGACCAGGCACAGTGTACATCTATGATACCAGTGATTTGTTAAATAATGTAAGCTGTGAAATTCATTGGCATGTCAAATAAATCAAACTTCTTGGAAACAACACAATCCAACTTCTTTCATTTTGAAGAGGGAAAAAACCACCTGGGGCCTGACAATCTCCAATACATAATCTTAAGAGCGTGGTACAAAGTTAATTGGGGATCAACACAGCTAAGGGGTTAGACACAGCTCAGGGGTGTAACTTTTTACACAGCTCAGCAGTTGGATAATCTGAGGGTATGCATTTTTTTTAAAAATGTAGGTATGTTTTATGGGGCGTTCACACCAAATCATCTATTCCAGACATGGGCAAACTACGGCCCCCGGGCCACATACGGCCCGTTAGGCTTTTTAATCCGGCCCGCCGAACTTGTCCAAATAGTAGAAACCTCCTTCATTTTCCCCTTTCGCTGCAATGCCTACGTTTCCCCAATAGATGGCGCACTCAAAACACATTGACCGTTGTTGGAGTGGCGCGTATTTCTCTTTATTTCACTTTAATTTTCACTTCGTTTCACGTTGCCATTTGAGCCCTATTGTGAAAATGAGCGGACCAAAGAGAAGGAAAGTGGACAGCGAATGCCGAGTGTTTAATAAGGAGTGGACAACAAAATACTTTTTCACTGAAGTCCGATCAACGGCTGTATGTCTGATATGCCAAGAAGCTGTTGCGGTTTTCAAAGAGTACAATATCAGCCGTCACTTTACCACGAAGCATGCAAACTATGCTAGCAAGCAGTCAACACAAGAACGGGCGGCTACTGCTCAGAGGTTGGCAGCTAATTTACAGAGTCAACAGAACTTTTTTCACCGACAAACTGCAATTCAAGAGTCAAGTACCAAGGCAAGTTATTTGCTGGCATTCAAATTAGGAAAGGCTAGCAAGCCTTTCTCCGAAGGCGAGTTTTTGAAAGAGTGCATGGTAGAGACAGCAGGTCTCTTGTGTCCGGAGAGCAAAGCCAAGTTTGAAAAAATCAGTTTAGCACGCAGGACAGTGACTCGCCGCGTGGAATTGATTGACGAAGACTTAGTCAGCGAGTTAAACAAAAAGGCGGAGTCCTTTAAGTTATATTCACTAGCACTGGATGAAAGTAACGACATAAAAGACACTGCTCAGCTCCTAATTTTTATCCGAGGGATTAATGACAGTTTTGAGATAACGGAGGAGCTTTTGAGCATGGAATCACTGAAAGGGAAAACGCGAGGAGAGGACTTATATGAACAGGTGTCTGCTGTCATCGAGAGAATGAAGCTACCTTGGAGTAAACTTGCCAATGTCACCACGGATGGATCGCCAAATTTAACTGGAAAAAACGTCGGGCTGCTGAAAAGAATCCAGGATAAAGTGAAAGAAGAAAACCCAGACCAGGATGTTATTTTTCTTCACTGCATCATTCATCAGGAGTCTTTGTGTAAGTCTGTATTGCAACTTAATCACGTCGTGGATCCAGTTGTAAAACTTGTTAACTTCATACGAGCAAGGGGACTTAATCATCGTCAGTTCATTACGTTCCTGGAAGAAACTGATGCGGATCACCAGGACCTACTTTACCACTCTCGCGTCCGCTGGTTAAGTCTTGGGAAAGTGTTTCAACGAGTCTGGGAGCTCAAAGAGGAGATTCGCTCATTTTTGGAGTTAATGGGGAAATCCGACGAATTCCCCGAGCTGAGCGACACAAACTGGCTTTGTGACTTTGCGTTTGCTGTGGACATATTTTCACACATGAATGAGCTGAACGTGAAGCTACAGGGGAAAGATCAGTTTGTGCACGACATGTACACAAATGTGAAAGCCTTCAAATCCAAGCTGGTTTTATTCTCCAGGCAAATGTCAAACAAATCTTTCGCACATTTTCCAACACTAGCCGTGCAGAAAGAGGCCGCCCGATGTGCGAAGAAATACTGCAAATCACTGGACGACCTGCACAGAGAATTTTGCCGTCGGTTCTGTGATTTTGAAAAAATTGAGAAGTCACTTCAACTGGTGTCCTGGCCCCTGTCACAAGATCCCGAATCAGCACCGCAGGAGCTGCAGTTGGAACTGATCGATCTTCAGTCTGACTCCGTCTCAAAGCAGAAGTTCAAGTCTCTTAAACTGAATGACTTTTACGCTTCACTTAACGAGACCACGTTCCCAAACCTCCGGAGGACGGCACAGAAGATGCTGGTGTTGTTTGGCTCGACCTACGTGTGTGAACAGACGTTTAGCGTCATGAAAATCAACAAAGCCCATCACAGATCCAAGTTAACTGACCAACACCTCAGATCTGTCCTGAGAATTGCCACAACAAAACTAACTCCAGACTTTGATGCACTGGCAAAAAAGGGAGACCAACAACACTGTTCCCACTGAAATTGGTGAGTTTTTCTGCTGTGTTATGAAAAAATGCATATGGAAAGTTTGGAAGTGCGTCTTTTAATTAAGAGCAATGCGCATTTACGCACAGCAGCGGTACAGTAGCTTAATTACCACACCGCACATCGCTCTTAATTTCAATTTCAATTTTCAGCTGCAGGTAGGATATTTAATACAGCCTATGTCTGTGTGCTTGGCAACGATACACGTGTACTGTAAGGTGAGGGCGTCCGTGGCGAGTTTGTAGAGCGCGCGGTCAGGACAATCCATCCATGATTTTGCGGGGTTTAACACAAGTATATATTATTGAGCTTGAGTATTTCGTTGTGTAATAATATGTTTTGAATGTTAAAAGTGATTCCATTTTTCAATAAATGTTGATTTCTTTAACTTTGCACCTTCGATTAAAACTTATTAAAAACAGACGCAATCTTGATAAATCACAGTGCGTATGCTATTTTAATCTATTTACATTTCCTCCTCCCAGTATCGTGCAAAATAGTATGTAAACGCCATATCTTGCATATTCCTTGAGACAAACTTATTAACTGAAAAGGGCTATTTTTCACATTTGAAAGACAGTTAATAAATTGGGTTGTAGTGTTCTTACTGTGCTATGAGGTTTGCACACACTACATGTAATGCTTTAGTATGTCCGGCCCAAACACTCCATCCAAATGCTCCTGGCCCGGCCCCTCTGTCAAATTTTAGAACCCATTGTGGCCCGCGAGTCAAAAAGTTTGCCCACCCCTGATCTATTCGCTTAATTCGCGCATGTGAATGAAGAGTATTCACTCGCTTCTTGTATTTATTCACTTTTTTCATGAGTATCATTTAGTCCATTCACTCCATTTGCACGTCAACAGACTGCTTAAAAGCTGTGATTAGCTGCTTATCCTAATTCAATATTGATCCTTGCCAATTTAACAGACAGGATTATGTGATAGACAACGCTTTTTTACAATTTAACAGATAATCTGACCTCCTCACTCACTTTTCTCTAGGCGAGCTCTTTTTCTATTCCTGTTTACATTTTTAAAAAATTTCAGTTCTGATTATCTTGTCAAGCCCACAGCTTAACTATTGCCAAACCTCAGGTTGAGTCAGACCAAATCAGGGACTTTAATACCAAACAGTTACTACAAAAAAAATGCACTTGTATGGCTGATACTTTACCCCATATGCAGAATACAGTAAATGCTTCAGTCTCTGGTGTGACAGTAGCCTGGCTGTGCCATCCCGTTGCGTGAATCACTTGACGTTCCTTCCCACAACAGTCTGGACTTCGGCCCATTGGAAGCCCTGAAAGTGGGCGGGAGTACTTTCCTTGATAGACAGACTACTGTAACCAATCACCGTAACCAAGCATCTGTGATGATGTCAGATGCTTGGTTACGGTGATTGGTTACAGTAGTACATGGACCAATCAAGAGCTGCCTTTCCCTGTTGTCCGGGTAACAGTGGAAACACGGTCTCTGATTGGCCCGGTTATTTTCTGATCGGGAATACACGCTCCCAATGGGCCGAAGTCCAGACTGTTGTGGGAAGGAACGTCAAGTGATTCACGCAACAGGATGGCCCAGCCAGGCTAGTGTGACAGCAGCTTCAAAAGGGGCTATTATATGCCTAAAACACTGGCAGGAAGTGCAGAATATACACTGGGAATGACTGACATTATGTAGAGCTACTGAATGCAATGAGCACAATAAAGCACACAGCATGAGAGACACAGGAAAACATTTACTGACACAGCAGTGATGTTATTCTATGGTGTGACTCATCTTTCTCTTATTTCAACAAACACCAGAGCAGTTATTTGCTTTATAATCTCCTATCTCTGACATGAATTTCATGATGTTACACCGAGATGACTAACTGTTAGGGTGGAACATGCAGTTCAATAAACAGGCTGCAAACCTCCATCCTGATTATTATTATTTCAGAGCAGTTTCCACTGGCAGACTACTACATTTTAAATTTTTAGTCTGTAACTATATTTGAGCAACCAGTTTTTTAACATTTGAAGTTTGTATATGGTTTATGCTTTAAATTTATATTTAGTATCTGGGTTTAGTGTTTAATGTAAGAGATAAAGACAGCCTGTAGGATTCTGGCAGAAAGACTTACATTTTATGATAAGCTACAGTGCTGCTGCAGATGAATGCTTAATATTTCTCTATTAAACCTTTGTTTTGGGGGGTTATTAACATAGTCTACATCTTCTCATCAGTGTGCAAATTTGGTAGTGCGTAGTGTTTGTAACAGCCCATAAAGATGTAGATTTCTGCTATAAAATTGGGACATTTAACACAAAGCTCTATGGGGACTGACTCACCTTTAGATCCAGCCTCAAGTGGACCTTTGAGGAACTGCAGTTTTGTCATTTCACTTCAGTTATTGAAGTAGCCACATCTTTAAGACCCATTTTGTTGGACTTCATGGAGGTGTAGTCAGGAAGAAGACAGTGCTGAATCAGGGTTCTTGAATGGGTGGGATAGTGTTGGGTAAGAAGAAAGTGAAGTAAACCACACACATGAAAAAAGAGTGATTGTTCTTTGATGGACTTGAACCCATTTGAAGGTTTGTTGCTCTTTAAGCTCAGTCTGCTTTGATGTGGTCTCTCTTTCTCTTTCTAGTGTCTGCCTCCCTCGCTCCCTCCCCCTCTGCCACCCCCTCACTCCCCTTTTCTCTCACTCTTTGTGAGAGTTCACTCTTCATCTACTTTAACTTAACTTTCCCACCTGCCTCCCTCCCTCCATCCTTCTCCCTATCTCCCTCTTATCCCCTCATCCTTCCTCTTGCTGGGATGTTGTTGGCATGGCAACGTAGGCCTACTCTGCTGGAGTGGTACTCAGGCTAAATGGCTAGAATTGGAAGTGCGTGCGTGCGTGTGCGTGTTTCTGATTGTTCAAAAGCCCATACATAACAGTGTTCCTGCAGGGTTTCTGGTGCTGTATTAAAGAGTTTGCATTATGCTGCAGAGAATAAAAGCCACAGACATAGGAGTTCTGAACTGGTTGTCAAGTTATGCAGAGGAGTGGTTGGGAAGCTACCAGGTCCCCTCAGAAAGAAAGTTCTGCCTCCCTCTCCTTTTTATTCCATTTTTACCTTCCCAACTCCACCACCCACATATCCATACTTAGCCAGCTCATAATGCAGTGTCCAATTGTGCCCCCCACAACGTGCTAACAAGTTTCAGGATCAGAATCTCCATCAGCTTTATCTGTATACACATACAAGGCATTTGACTCTGGTGTTATCACTTCTATAGTGGTGAAAAATATTGACCGGCTATTTTCACCTAAAGATATTATCTGTGTCACAGCATGTTATGGTACCTCCATAGACTGAATACACTATGGACAACTTGGCTCCGCCTTCCGTCATTACAGGAATTTGAAGCCGAATTGTTCTCAGTATTTCCGCGATTCTCTCCACTTCCTGGAACCACCACTTGTGCAGTAGCATTGTACGCGTTCGGCGGGAGAGTCGCTGTGATGGCGCTCGGCTGCGTAATAAATTTCTTACGTTTGTCCACAGCTCCATAAAGATTGCTGTAAGAGATGGGATTTATGACCTGCAGCCCGTCACCAGAGGGTGCTGTTCTCGCGGTGGCTTCACCCAGTGAGGAGGCAGACGGTGTCCATTCTATATACAGTATATGGGTACCTCACATAAGGCTAGGTCCTTCAAACATGTAAGATGGAATGTCAGTATAGATAGGGGGCACTCTAAATTGTTTCACTATCCACCACATGGGATATATTTCACATCCAACCTGGAAACACCCCATAGATGGTGTTTGGGAAGGGCAGAACCTTTCAAAATAAAACTTAAAGGCTGATTAGACAAACACTCTGTCACTTTCATTGTGAGTGAATCAGAGCAAAAACAAATATAACACAGTGGAATTGCACCTTCACCAAGGAGCAAGCTACGTAACCTAGGATCCACTGGCACTCGTCTTATACATTTGCTGTTGGCTTCAACTATCAGCTGTCAGTCAAAGATAATCATGTAACAGAGTTGTATAGCAATATTGTTACGTCACTGACCGATTTTTGTGTGACATGGACCCCATTAACAACAATCCCCATTAAGTTTTTCCATTACAACTGCTTGATCTTTCTTTTAGCTGTTTCATTTAAATCTGTATATTTACTATCTCGGGGATGTATTCTCGTGTCTCAGACAGACACTTTTTTGATCACACAGGAAATATTAGGTCATACCATGTTGATCCATGCTGAATTAGCACTGCTGAGTTTTGGTTAGCAGATGTTTGTTGCAAAATCTCCAGTGGAATTTATATTGGAGTTTTTCACGCTTCATGAGTTTCTATTTCATCCTCACAACATAGACTAACTCAGACAAGACATGAGTGCTCTGACCATCAAAGTTTGCTCAGTCATTTTGACATTACACTGAAGCCTGTGCTCATTTGTCTTTACCTCCTGAACACAGCCCTAATAAAACAGCTTGTTGGCCTTTTATCAAGAGTTGGATTTTGCAAGAGTTAACCACAAACTTAAGTAAAGGAAACCTAATTTGCTTTAATTTCACCTACTTTCAGTCTAGGTTACTAGTAAAAAATAAAAAGCTTTTATATGATTAGCAGCTCGAAACACTCCTTATTTATCTAAATGTCAATGAAAACACTTTTATTTTAGCACCATTCAGCCCTTGCCTGAAAAACAGTTCTGGCTGCTTTTCCACTGATAGAAAGTCAGATTTAGCATGGGGTGTTACTTTTAACACAGTCATAAGATTATAGCTTGAGTGAAAACATTTGAGGCTGGCGTTTTGCACCCACTTACCTATGTCTAATTTATGTAATTAGTTGTTCTGGTGTTGTATGGCTTCTCCCAGCTTGTGGCTCTGAGCCTCAACAAGGTCTTTATAGATGAGCACCTCCAGGTTTCAGCTGAGACTCAAATCCAGCTTGTTCTTGCCTTTGTTTACAAATGAGTCATGAGTGAAGTGGAGAGCACATACAG